CGCAGCATTGCACGAATCTGGTGTGGTAGCCGAATGAGCAATGCTGATGTTAGGCGCAGAGTTTTGGGTATCCTCGGTCGCCCACTGGAGCAAATGGTTGACCTCTATAGAATACGTTGGTTGGGACATGTGTTATTCATGTCACCAGATAGGTTACCGCGGCGAGCGATGTTCGCCGAGGCAGGTAGTGAATGGAAAAAAGCCAAGGGTGGTCAAGCTCGGACCTGGCACGAATGTATGAAAACCCTGACCAGGAGACTGGGTCACATAGGTCCCGTTAGGCTCCCTGGCTGGGGAACCCGAGATGATGGTCACCGATGGTTAGAGACACTGAGTGATATGGCTGGGTGTCGCAAACAGTGACGTTCACGCATCTTCTCGATTTATTTGCAACCTTAGACCAATAAAATTCTCCATTTTCTGTCCGACTCTACTTTCAACCTTCCTGTCTTCTCCTATTCTTCATCCAAATGGGCAGCCAAAAGACAGCAACCAAAAGCGGCGCACGATAGCGCATGATAATGGTTGTACAAACGGAAACTGAAACTGAACCGTCAGAATTTTGTAGGAACTCATGGCTGCACTTATTGGTTCGTTTTGCAACTGGATCGCCACAACGAAACTTTAGACTGGTTCGACAAATATTCATCAGAAATAAATTAAAAGAGGAAGGCACTCTTCAATTGATGCTTTTGATTAACAATCTTCCTTTATGTTAAAATTTTGTAATCGATTTTCACAGGTGAATCAGAAGGGTTCAGTCAAGTGACAGATGAACTCTAACGCACTGTGTCGCGTGTCTATAAAGGCTCGCATTTCCTCTTGCATTCTTGTAACAACCCGTTCTTTAACGAAAACGTGAAATCGTATTCGACAACAATATAACAAACACTGAACTCCTAATAAATGCCCAGTCCTTTTTACCCTTAATTAATCTCCTAGTTGTTTCTTGTTTCTCCAAGCATGCTCATGAAGATACTTTTATTGCAGTTTGATCTAGATTCCTGCGACATTCATGCATGCATACACAATATATGCATGAAAAATGATATTAATTTTTTCTCTTCTTTAGCGTTTGTGCCGAAGAGACATTAGAGTAAAGTGAAATATTTTGTATTTATTATGGTTAATTCATGTCTATCTATCTATCTATCTATCTATCTATCTA